CCCCCCCTACCCCGAAGAGCTGGTTGGTGTAGCAGTGAATCTCCGCCTCCGTTTGGATTCTCGTTGACCGGAAGTCGGGGTCCTGTCCATCGCATCGCGGTAGGAAGAGGTTGCCTCCATCGTTACTTCCGATCGCCGATCGCGCACCAACTTAACCTTGCAGCCAGCAGTTTTACGTTGTTTCATCACTGGATATAGCATACGACGCCGCTCCTCAATTTTAGACGGATAAGTTCTATTTATGAAGCTTTTCCTTTAAAGTCGACATGTGTCATTGTTTTCAGATTAGCTCATGCATTTACTTTGTCCATCTTATACCATATATCTTTCAACTTAATTATAATAGGTAACAGGATTAACTGGTCATACCAGATCGAACACTGCATTCAGTCCCAGACTAAGGACAGCTAAATTGGCTTACCTGGTCGGGTACAGCCTGCATGGGTTTGACAGGCCGATTGCTATGAATGACAGATGTCACTAAAACTAATTACTTAATTGCTATCGAGTAAATGGATTTAGGACATGATTACGAGGCTTGTTCTCAGTTCCCCCACTTTTTAAAATAGCATGGGGGTGGGGGGGGAAGAATGTTGATAGAAGGATTAAAGTCTGTTTCTGAGTAGTATTGGCAGTATTTACCTGTGTTTTACATGTGTTTAACCCTTCTATATAGTAGGGTTGTGTTCTATCTAAGCCGGAAGCTGATCATATATATACATCATATAAAACTTTCAAATTTTTAATAGTAAATGTTAATTGAAAATATTTCAATATTAATTATATATGTAAATATATCCGTTCTGTAGTACTTGTGCTGCTGATATGACATATGATAAGATGAAATGTGTGATTTTATTCTGTAATAATTTTGTACTTCAAATATATTATTGATATAATGATATAAAAAGTTATAAAATGAAACTTTCTTTTTATTATTGTAACATTTAATAAGATGCCTAAATACCTAGTAAGAATGGTAATGTGTGACTAAGAATGTGGTGTTTAACAGTTGATAATTAAACTTTAAAAAAAGAAATTAATCTAAATTCCTAGATGTTTGAAGTATATTATAACTATCATAAAAATCCTTTGATATTTATAATTATTCAAGCTGTCATTTCATCCTGGTGAGCTAGAAGTGATCACAGCCAATGCTAATTTAAGTGAGATAATGATTAGTTTTAGTATTATCTATAAGTACACCTAGCGAACCGGACGTTGGACTTTATGGTGTACGTGTCGCCCTAAATGGTATAAATAGTTTATAAGTAAACATTATATCTTGGCTGTTTTGTAAATAGTATAAATAGTTTGTAAATAGTATAAATACAACCTGGCCTTTTTGTTAATACTGTCAATAGTTTAAAAGTAAACATTATATCCTGGTGTTTTGTAAAAAGTATCAATAGATTATAAGTAAACACTCTATATTATACTATATATTTTCTTCACAGATGAATATACAAGGATCGACATAAAGAACGAAGAAAAATCGCTGAAACAACTTCAACGTGGCAAAACTAACAAACACTCTGGCGAGAATCAAACTGTAGTAGACTTTGGCGTGCCAATCGATGATGCTGAAAAACGCCAAGGTAAGCTAAACTTAGATTACTTTTGGAAATATTAATAGAGATGAATTGTTAACTGAAAACAGTAAACGATTAAGTGTTGTTTTAATATGTGTATGACGTATGATATGTTCCCTGGGTATGTACTACACGATGGAGACAAATAAACCTAACATATGGTATCCTAATAATACTACCTCGGAAGCCTCTCTCCAACAAATATAAAGTAATTAACATATTGTATCCTAATAATACTACCTCGGAAGCCTCTCTCCAACAAATATAAAGTAATTAACATATGGTATCCTAATAATACTACCTCGGAAGAGAATAGCCTCCCTTTGACAAATATAAAATAATTAACAGATGATATCCTAATAAAAAAATCTTAAGATAGATTAGCCTCTCTCTGACAAATATACAGTAATTATCAGATGATATTCTAATAAAACTCCCTCAATATAGATTAACCTCTCTCTGACAAATATACAGTAATTATCAGATGATATTCTAATAAAACTCCCTCAATATAGATTAACCTCTCTCTGACAAATATACAGTAATTAACAGGTGATATTCTCATACAACTCCCTAAAAATAAACCTTAAGATCCCATGCGGCCTTAAATTCGGGCAAACAGGAGTGATTTATATTAGCTGGAATAACTTGTTTCATAATTGATGTTAAATATAGAGTTTTTATATTTTTTCTACAGATGTGCCTAATGTGTTACTGATAACGTACTTACGGTCGGGCTCCTCTTTAATCGGAGATATCGTCCAGCAGGTGCCCCATGCACTTTACTCTTTTGAACCCGCCAAGCAATGCATGGAGAGAGGTTATTATCTGTCTCGCGATCGTGGTATGTGCTACCTCACCAACGACGTGTGCAAGTAAGTAAACGAAGACCAAGTATAATTGTAAGCATTTGTATATGATTCTTTACATATCTTTTTTTCTTCTTTCTTCGTTTGAAAACATCAAGAGAAGATAATAGTGTTAAAAATCGAAATTAGAACTCGAAATTGGTGAAAGTACGGCAAATGAAAAAGATGAATGTTTCATAAAGTGACATTTGAAAAAAGCACAAGAATGAGACAAAGTTTTCCAGAGGAGAAAGCATCTTCTGCTTCATCAAATACATTCTCCTTTTAAATCTTGGTCCAATCTAAGCAATATTGTAAACGGCACAATGAATAAATTATTATTAAATTATTATTCAGCATTTAGTGGAATGCTATTATTGCATGAATATGCATTTTCGTGTACTTAATATTCTAGTGTGCCTTATAAACTAGTAATTCATTCTTGTATACCGTATGAATATGTCATACATTCTCATGTACCTTATAAATGTGTCATCAATTCTTGTGTTCCTTATATATGTATCATCCAATCTTGTGTACTTTATATATGTATCATCCATTCTTGTGTACCTTGTAAATGAGTCATCAATCAATTGTCGTTCACAAATTGTCTTTGTCAGATTTATTTTCAGAACAAATAAGAATACTGAATTTCGCCTTTTCATCACAAACGAGTTAAAGCAAACTTATCAAGTAGGGAAATATCTATATATTTGTTGGAGATATAAAGGGGCGGTTACAACACTTGTGCTATTATTTCACACCTTTGCGATTTGAGCTGGTCTTTTTTTGACTCATATGACTTTTCACAGACTCATTGGCCTGCGTATATTTTAGACAGTTTATTAGGAGCTACAACACCCGGTGTGGCACAGCCAGTGTTCTTTAGGGAATAAAAGATGCCTACAACATACTTAAAGCTTATTTAATTTTGTCATTTTCATTTATTTGCAGAAATACGCCCAAGAATGATTACGGATTCATAATGGAACATTTCAAGAACTTTTACAAATGTAATTTAAAAACGCTAAACCTCTATTTCTTATCAAGGAGTAGGCAATTCCATAAATTAGCTTACCAATGTAAACGTGAAGCTAATCAGAAAAAGTGTATTTCTAAACTGATTCCAGTGTGTGAAAAAGCGGTCCGGATAATAAAAACCATACGATTGTCTATGGACATGGTACAGGAATTAATGGAGAATATTCCTAACCTAAAAGTGATACACTTACTACGAGATCCACGAGGGATGATCGTGTCCAGGATAAAAGCCATAAGGCATCTTCAATACAAAATGGGAAATATGTCTTCGATAGCCCGGGCCGTGTGCGATAGGTATAACAGAGACATAAGTATAGGCCAATCACTGAAGGTCAAATATCCTAACAGAATTAAAACACTGCTATACGAACAGATAGCACAGAGACCTTTAGAAACTTCTATTCGAATATTTAAATTTTTGGGACTTCAACCAAAAAGCAATTTCAAAAGTTGGCTGATGGAGCACATTGCAGGGGACCCGAAAATGTCACCTGGTCATCCCGCCTTTAGTACTGTGCGCGCCAACTCTACAGCCACTGCGAACTCCTGGCGGTTAAAACTGTCGTTAGATAACGTCATGGATATTGACCGGGAGTGCTCTAAGGTGTATGCATACACAGGCTATCTGGCGGTAAAGAATTCAGCCCATCTGAAAAATCTCAATATATCCGTTCGAAAGGAGAATTCTGATTTTCCATAGATACACTATGTAAGTTGCAACAATAAAAAAATAAAAAATAAACTATCTTCAATAGTTTTTACATGAAATGTAAAACAAGCATAGCAACAAGAAATACTTTCCTATATACTTTTTACTTCTTTTCTTTTGTTGTAATTTCTATTGATTAATCAAGGCCTTTGTTTTAAAGGAATAATACATTAGATTAGTCTGATGCCCCTCAACTGATCCGTGAGAAGTATTTAGTAGAGAGACATTGTTAAAGGTTTGTTCATTATAGGAATAATGTACTTAGCTTATTAGGACAATTTATATAGTCCTTGTCCTCTTTTTATCATATATACCGGGTCAAGTTCGTCCTAAGGTAAAGTCCGGCCACTCGAGATATTTTCTGTCTTGTGAAATTAATTAGAAGAAAAAAAAATCTTCCAGTTTGCGATTTTGCTGTAAACATTATTGCTATTAATTTATGTCATACGTGTGAAACGCTGACAGATTCACATGATGGTATGCAAAACGTGTAGCATCGATATCCCTAACACTGTAATATACGAATTTGTTGAAATATCAATTTCGGGCAGGTTCAGCCAATGCAATACATGGAACGTCGGTTAATTGGTTAGAACATCTGGGCGAACTTAGCCAAGACTGCTTGCCCGAACATTCCTCAAGGCGGAGCATGTTCGGTCATCCAATCTTCCGGCAGAAAAGAAATATTCTTCTAATAAGTGCGTGTTTGCCATTTTGTTATTGTTATTATTTTATGAATGGCATGGAATTTCTCTTCCTCGTGGTATATATATATCTAAAGTAATTTCAACGAATGCCATTCTGTCCAGAACGACTTTAATAAAATTGAGCCGAACTTGCCCCGATCTCCCCTAATACAGCCACTACCGAGCTTGTTTTTTTTTACTTTGAATAAAAATATCTAAGGGATGAGTAAAAACCTTAGGGTGAAGATGTCTATTCACAAGAGAAATATAAACGGGCGGAGACATAGTCCAGTCAGCTGGAAGCCGATATACTTGGTCCCAATTTTCACATGTATTGTTTGCATAATTTGAAAATAAAATAATTAATAATCATGGCCAAAATCCTTAAAACAATAAATTATCGATGAGAAAAACTACATCTTTAACAAATACATGCCTTCAACTTGGTTTGAAAATAAAGTCATTAGAAAACAAAATGAATTCAAAACCCTGATTGCTTTACCATGGCTGCATACAATGACAGCCCTGAGTTTATAGTATTGCCGAATTTATCAACAAATCCGGAGGCTGTGTTAATTCAGAATGATTCTGTTATAAAAGTGAAGCCTGTTGCCCCTGATGTTATCACACTGAAAGTAAAATATAATTATTTAGCCAGCGAACTATCTGATCAATAATCACATTTACTACGTTCCATTTACAATTCGTTCAAATGGCGCTATACATTAAGACAGAATATATGTATGATGAAACTGGGCGTAGGATAGGGAAATTCCACCCTCGGGGTTTTCAAATTTGGTAAAACCCTTGCTATGTTTAGTTATCAGATATTTATAGACCAATCAACAGCCAGAAGCCATCTCAAGCAATGATGTTTTCCAAACATATTTTGTTTATAGACGGACTAGGTTACGAACTACCAGTGACAAAAATATCAATCCAAAATATGTGGTGGAACATATTCAAAGAAGGGATCAAGTGACTATATGGTCTATACACCAGAATTCATGTTGATATGTATAGTCTAATCTTTATGACTGAAACTGACAGAAAAGAAGAAAAGATTTGTTCCAGTTTGGATGGAATGAATATTTAATCAACAGAGCAGATGTTTTGAAAAGATGCGTTGGTTGATTCCTTTTCAAGATGGCAACTAAAACATTCATGTTACTGCACAATCAGTTGTCAGATCCCAGACAACTTTCTTACGATATCAACTGAGTTCAGAGATTGTGTGTTTGTTTGTTATTTTGTTTTTATATATATTTTAAGATAAGACGCCTTTTAACAGTTCATGACATTTACAGATAATGGTTTATAAGTTGCAAGATTATGAAATGTGTTCGATTGGAAGACTTGGAAAAAATTAAAGAAGAGAAAAATTATGCGAGGTTCTGAGTTTGTTTTCAAACTGGTAACTCTAGATTCATAAGAAAACAACTTATTTCAAGCTTTGTCGGATCTTCTTAGCCCAAGGATGCAACTGTTCTGGCCCCACTTGCACGAAACTTCTTAATTCTTAGTTCTCAATTCTCAATTCTCAGACTAAGTACGTGCTTAGCTGAGAAGTTCTCAAAATTGGCTTTCTCAAACACGTTCTCAAATATTTGAGAACGTTCTCAACTAAGAACGTATTTCTCGTGAACTAAGCGGCCTCGCAGGGAACTCTTTCGCGAAAGAAGGAAAAATTGTTACAAAACTACAGGAAAACTGGTGTGATGATTTACCTAATTGGAGGTAAGTGTTTTGTATCATTGTTTTAATATTCTTGTTTAAATACATGTGTATTGCACGCATATATCGTCCGCTTATTTACGAAAATACTCAGCGAGTTGATTATGAACCCTTAAATTCTAGACGTCAAAGTCGGGTAGAAAATAGACAATATGCAGCAGGTGTTTTAACTTATCGACGGTTGTCGTCAGTTGAAAGTCGGAAAGAGGCTTTCAACGAAAAAGAGGGGGTGAGGGCATGCAATTAGACGTAACACGACAAGGCATTGTTAGTGGAAGAAGACATGCATTGTTGATAAAAACTGCGGTGTCGATCATCAGAAATCGGATCATGGAGAATAGCGGTGAATTTGGCATCAAATCTCCGGTGTGCTTTCCGATCACAGGGGTTCGTTACAAATGTCTTTTAAAAATACACATATGATATACTGATATGGGTCACAGTTTATGTGTGCTGTGACCCAGTCAGTATAGCATATTTGTAACGAACCCCTGTGTTCCGATTGTGTCCCTTGGCACATGTGTAATATTACGGACGACGGATTGGCCAGTGTCATTTTGCGAATACCATAGTTCTTTTTACCGTGGCTGATATCGCCGATTTATTGACACAAAAACAAAATTAACACGATGATAGGACTTTTGTTTTCTTTCATCTTAGAGTTTGTCAAAAAAGTATATAGGTATCATATAACTAAAGTTAAAAACCGAATGTTCCGTAATCCGCATGCTAAAATAGTTGGCCACCTAGACGAAACTTTAAAAGCCCAACACATGGAGAATGGTTTTCTTTTTATTTGCATGTTGACTAGTATTGAGAAGATCTAGACCACACTCTTACAACTTTAAATGTGCTAGGGATGTTAAATAAAGACATTGACATTAATGTTGAAACATTAGTGACTATAGCATTTTAATTATGTTGAAGATTATATGTCCGTCAATATTTATCTGTGCCATCTAATTTGATCAATTTTAGTGTATACAATGATTGGCTCTAGTTTCCGACAATACATTTATTAACTTAATATGATTTGGTGATAGACTGATTATGATTAAATCCAAAATAAACTTAATTCAAATTACATATCTTCCTATGTTGCAGTTGATTTTTTATAAAGACCAATCAGACAATGATGAAATTCTATATTTTGAAATTTTATGTATTGATGCATCATACACTGTTGCAGGACAATTATTACCACTGCTACCATTTCTAGTAAATTCCATACAAAGTCTCAAAGTGAACATGGATATTTGAATTGGCCTCAATAAAACTCCAAGGGAGTTTGGAAAGTAAAATCTTAAAAGTTGTTTGAAAATGATATCCATGCCCTTTATATGCTCAAGTTAGAGATATATTTGTCCTATTATTTTTATTCTAACCTGAGTGGACCCAGAGATTCAACCAAAATGAACTGTTACATGTTGTGGTTTGGTGCTGTGACAAAGCTTAAAGGTACACATAACCAAGTTTGTCTTTTTGACTAAGGATTGACATTTACAAAATGATGTTAGGGTGTGACCAACATTCACATATATACCAGTAAAATGATGAAATGATATGAAATATAAGTCAGTAGTAAAGTTAGATTTACCACCAAAAGAGGAATAGGTTAAAACTGCTATCATATAATAAGAATTTTCACTACTGGTAAATTTCATATTATTCAATATTTACTTTTTTTTCAAAGTACTTTGTCACATCCCCAGGCCATAATACATGCTATATTGTCTCTATTTCTGTGTTACACGGTTCACAGTAAGGGCTATGGACTATATATGCCTACTTTAATCAAATATGCATTACCTGATAGTTGTCAAAATATGCTGATTAACTCTGTACTTATGCCACTGTAATTTGGTAATCTTTGTTTCCAAATTTCATCATCAAATTGAAATATATCATCCCATTTCTTTACCTGTTGAAATAGTATCATTTTTACAAAATAAGCTATAAAAATCTCTTATCCCTGTTTTATTTTTCAAAAACTTTCTATATTTATTGGTATAAATGGATAGCTTACCTCTACATTTGACATATCTTGTTGTACAATATACTCTCTAATGCAGATATTAGGCCCTGGTACATGTATCATAAAACCAGTTTGTATTAATATCATAAATCTGTTTGAACTCTTGAAATGTGTAAATTGCAATGGTACTTCTGACTCTGATTTGATCATTAATTACCATTATTCCTTTATTGTACCATTCTCTGTAAGATATACTTATGTTTCCTGTTGTAATCTTATTGTTGTACCAGAAGCGCATATTTTTCCTTAATATTTTTCCTTAATTTTTCTCCTTGCTCTAAATACATCAATCCAAAAGGATTTTATTTTTATTTTGACATTTTGTAATATAATCAGTTCCGAATTTTGCAGAATGTTTTTATTACAATATAATTTTAGCGATGAATACATTTTATACATAGTTTTACACACAAAAAAAATGTATTGTAAAAAATATGCTTATATTATTCATACATTATATAGATTACTTCCCTTTATAAACTGTATGAGCAGAACTGTCATCTAAAGAAGTACAATGAAAAATGAAATTTTATTTATACATTTTAAACATTAATTTTTCGTTCTTAAGATTTATGAGTATGGCTCAGATGTGATTTGACTATTTGGACTTTGAAGACTGCTATGATAGTCAAGGAAATAAAGTTTACTTCCTGTATGAGCACACATTCCCATAGCCCTTGACCAACTGGGCATTGTCAGCAGTAATCTTTTTATTGGAATATTATCATTTGGTGTCATGCTGCACTGAATCGAAAAATGATATCTAGTCTGGCTCTTGTGTCAGGAACTAACCTGACAACGGATGAAGTCTTGAGAGTGCTGATAAACCCGTTTATCATAATTCCATCATCAATAACATATTTACTGACATAGCCTGGAGCTAATGATAACTGGTAGGTGCCGCACGTTATAGTCTTCAAATATTCCAAATTGAGATCTGGAAAAATGAGTAAAGATGCACCCATCTTAACGAATTCTGACTTTGCTCTCTTGCAGAGAACTGGTTATGTTTTCACCCTCTGAACCAAACAGTTTGCTTTTGTAAGTCATAACTTCATTTGTTGTGCGAGTTCTCTGTACTTTCTGTCAGTTTCCGGTGATCTTCGATAAATTGGTACCCGTATCCCATTGAGATATGCAGTCACACTTTTTAGCACTTCCTCAATGTGATATTGGTTGAGTTCTAAAAAATATGACAAATGCTTAAGACGGCCATGATAATACTCTACAATCCATTAGGATTTAGCAACTGTCTTGTCAATGTTATCCTGTAGATCAGAGTATTGGCTCTGACCAGGCTTAAGATATGAGGGCATACTGGTATTAATACCAGATGCCTCTAACA